AGAATGAAAGATGAACGGCTGTGAGAAGGTCTGGGGAGGAACACAGCTGTCTCTTGCTGTGTGAAATTCAACTGCAGCAGCAGCAGCCAGGCCTCACAAGCTGGGGTGTTCTATACCCTCGGTGATATCTGAGGCTCTTGTCCATGCACCTCCTGGGTGGCCTGGGGAGCCCTCAGGAGTGGGTGCAGTCATTTCACAGGTCAGGACTGGTTACCGTAGTCTACAGTCTGGGTGATGTCGTCTCCTGACTCTTCCCGGAGAGAGGCCTTGTGTCCATCCATTTCTGTGAACTGACAGATTTAGGGCTTGCCCAGACATGCTTAGGTAGGCTAGACCCCAAATTAGGCCAGACTATCAGCCTTCAGAATCTTTAAGACATTCTCTGAACACTAAACCTGTGGTCTCCTCCACCACCTCAGCCTGAGTTGCAGGATCATCCTGCCTGTTTTCATGTTGGGACAAGTTGTTTCAAACCTCCCTGGAACCTCCTCTAATCTTGGAAAACCTGGGCTATGGAAATCTGGAGGCTGGTCTAAACCAGAGCTTAATGTTTAACTTCTGCTTTGGTGCCACCAAGTGGTTAGTTTGGATATGACATGCTCCAAGGGAAAGATGGCTGTCAAAAAACCAAAGCAAATAAAACAACAACAACAACAAACCCCAAACCAAAAAACAAACAAAACAAAACAAAAGATGATGATAAAAATAGATTCTGTGACAAGGAGATTCCAGGTCAGTGACAATATTCTGCGTGATATCGGTGATGGTGCATGTCTTTAAGCAGCTTCCCAGACGAATAGGATATCAAAGTGAGCCTCAATGTCAGCAATGAACTCTGGGTGATGGATACAGTCGACATCTGCTCCTGCTCGCTCAGGGTGCTGATCACGGGGTGGTGGTCTACGAGGGCGTGGACTATACGAGGGTGTGGAGTATACGGGGGAAACTTCTGTCCTTTTTGCTCACTTTCTGTAGCTCTAAAAGTAATTTATGAATGATATATACACGTCTACTTTTATAGTTTCCCCTTCTAGATTCTGGTGTGGGGCAAAGAGTAAGATATAAGGTGGAGACTTGTCTGAGCCTCTTTTCTGTTGCTGGGATAAAATATCCTGGCAAAAAGTGGAGGAAATGGTTCTTGTAGCTCACAGCTCCAGGCTACGGTCCATCCTAGCAGGGCAGTCATGGCGGCAGGAAAACACCCGTTTCTCATCAACAGTTGAGAGCAGAGAGACCCGATGCACACATACGCACGACTCAGCTCAGTGCCTCTATAATCCAGGAGCCAAACTCAGGGAGTGGTGCTGCCGACTTTCAGGATGGTCTTCTCACATCAATTAGTGCGCTTGTGACAGTGTCCCATGGCGGTGTGCAGGCCCTCCTGATCCAGACAGCCTCTCACTGAGACTTCCCTCTCATGTGATTCTAGACTGTGTCAACTTGACAATTAAAAACTACCTGTCACAGCTATCTACAGAGGTCAGACGAATTCACAGATCATGTCTTTCTGAAGGTACATGATTCGGCATCATAGTCCTTAGCTTTGTAAACACCAGAAACCTATTGGTTCAACAGTATGCAGAGCTGTTTCATTTTCCAGATCTGGCTCCCAAACCTTCGAGCAACACTTGTTGAATCAGAGGCTAATATGCACTCAGTTAGCCATGTGTACGCAATGCTAGAATAAAACACGTGTGTTGAGTGAGCGGTTTACTGTCGACTCTGCAGAAAAATGTTTGGTTGAAGACAAAGGGCAAAGTATGCCTGGCAGGTGGCATCGTAGTGGTGGTGGCATCACCATGCCACCTACCTGCCGTACTTGCTGCGCTGTTTAGTCTTCAGAGGAATGAGTGGATTGATGTGGGCTTGCGTGCAGTGCGTGTTTAGTCTTCAGAGGAATGAGTGGATTGGTGTGGGCTTGCGTGCACTGCGTGTTTTTGAGCTCGGTTAGCACATGGTAAAACTTTAGTGTGTGTGTCCTCGTGTGTGTTGTTGTGTTCTCTTGTTGATACCACCAAGCTAAGTCTGACTGTAGCCAGCTTTCTTTTGGGCCACCAACCAGCTTCTAAATCATGACATGGAGAACTAGTACTAGTTTTGAATGCTTTGCCTTAGCTCTCTTATTTTAATCCATTTCTCTTTACATTTTTGACTTGAAGGTTTTTTTTTCCCTGTTGTTGTTGTTTTGTTTTCGACATAAAATTTCTTTGTAGCTTTGGAACTAGCTCTTGTAGACCAGACTGGCCCCAAACTTATAGAGATCCACCTGCCTCTGCCTCCCAGAGTACAGGGATTAAAGGCGTGCACCATCACCATCTGGCATGCTTTGAGGGGATTTTTTTTACCTTTCTTTCTTTTTATGTATCTTATTTTCATTGCTTCTTGTGTCTGACTGGTGGCTGCCTGGCTTCTGACTCTAAAGTGTCCCCTTCTCTCTCTCTCTCTCTCTCTCTCTCTCTCTCTCTCTCTCTCTCTCTCTCTCTGTCTCTCTCTCTCTCTAGTTCTCCTACTTATTCTCTCTGCTTGCCAGCCCCTCCTATCCCTCTCCTGCCTAGCTATTGACTGTTCATCTTTTTAATTAGACCAATCAAGTGTCTTTGGCAGGCAAGGTGAAACAACACGTTTTTTCATAATTAAACAAATGCAGCAGAAACAAATGTAACACATCGTTACATAGTTAACAAAGGCAGAAGAAACAATGTAACAGCTTCACACAGTTAAAGTAACAGTCTGCAGGATAAACAAATGTAACACATCGTTACATAGTTAACAAAGGCAGAAGAAATGATGTAACAGCTTTACACAGTGAAAGTAACAGTCTGCAGCATAAACAAATGTAACACATCTTTGCCCAGCTAAAATAACATTTTACAACACCGGACTTTCCTACCTTAGGGATGTGACCCTTGCTGTGAACACTCCTATTGTTGGCCAGTGCTGAAGACAGACTGACCTAATCTTTCTCATTGGGCACTCTCTTTGGAACTGTGCTCTAGTAGCTGAGAATGCTTTCTTGCCCAGGGACATGTAGTGACTGACAAGGAGAGGCTGGAAGGCATAGTGTCAGGGTTCTGGAAAGCAGCTCAGTCACTGACTAGCATTCAGGTTCTCTCGCCACCATTTATGGCTTACTGCCTTGTGGGGAGCTCATCTGGCCATCCTGTGGTAACTTTCAGAAGAGAACTTGGGCTTTGGAGAGTCTGTCCCTAACTTCAGTTAAAATGAATGTGTAAGATTCTTAATCACCTTGCCCTAGATCTCCAGCAAGAAAACAAAGCTTGGCAGGAGATAGGAATGTGTCTAGGGTTCCTATCAAGAATGCATTCACGTGTACCTAGGATACTTGCACCTCTAGAGCTTGCACAGACCTCTCTGCCTGCTGTATCTAGCAGCCTGTGCTGCGAGTCCTCACTGTCTGCAACCCCAGCTGTCTCCTCAGTGGCTGAGCCCCTGGACCACGCCGTAAGCTGCAGCTGCAGAGACCTCAGCCAAAGGGACTTGGGCACATTTGCAGAAGCTATGGACTGATAAGTAACTGATAACTTACTTGGATGCTGATTTCTTTTTATTTTTGCCAGTGTGGTATTTTTAAAGGACTGGGTATAACGGTTTAAACTGGAAAAAAAAAATCAGAAAATTCCTACAAACCTCTGAATATCCAGTTTCTCTGGCTAAGCAGGGTTCGCGTTCCCACAGGGCATGTGTTACTGGAGAGGTCTAAATGGGGCACACGCCTTCCAGTTACCCTCCTTGCCCTTCCCTCGTTTGGTTGCGTTGCTGCTTAGGATTAGTGCCTTGCAAAACCACTCTTGGTGTGTTGCAAAAGAAAAACAAGCAGGCAAAGCCAGTCCCAGGACAGGGCTGGACTCTTTCGGATGGGTCGTGGTGTCCCTGGGGTATTCCTTCTGTGGAACTGCTCCAGGCTCTTTTCTTTCTGACCTCATTCTTTGGTATTGCCATCTTTTTTTTTTTTAAAGATTTATTTAATTACACATACTGTATTCTGCTTGCATGTATGCCTGCAGGCCAGAAGAGGACACCAGATCTCATTACAGATGGTTGTGAGTTGCCAATGTGGTTGCTGGGAATTGAACTCCGGACCTCTAGAAGAGCACCCAGTGCTCTTAACCTCTGAGCCATTTCTCCAGCCCTGGTATTGCCATCTTTGAGTTTGTTCTTTCAGCTTCTGGTCCCAGTGGGTCTGCAGTGTTGTTGAATAAGGAGTGAAGAGTCTGGGATCACATGATATGGTTTTAGCAATCCCCTGCCTCAGTTTTCAAGTGCTGAGATTAGTCATGAGCGACTATGCCTGGCAAGACTTGGTTTTGGATTTCAGCTGCACTGATTTGTAAAATGGGGTTGATAACAGGCCTCACAGGCAGTCCGTGTAGTGGGTGGAATTTTGTCTACAAAGCATCAAATTACTGTGCTCCATCTCTTCTTTAAGACTGAGAAAAAAAGCTGGGCTATGGTGGCGCACACCTTTAATCCCAGCACCGGGAGGCAGAGGTAGGCGGAGGCAGAGGTAGGCGGATCTCTGTGAGTTCGAGACCAGCCTGGTCTAGAGAGCTAGTTCCAGGACAGGCTCCAAAGCCACAGAGAAACCCTGTCTCGACAAACCAAAAAAAAAAAAAAAAAAAAAAAAAAAAAAAAAAACCTGAGATCAAGGCCAGATGCGATTTCTTGACTGCCTTCTGGCCACTCACACCTTTTTGACTCTGAGAATAAAGTCAACTCCTATGGTTTCGTCCCTGAAGCTTCCAGCCCTTCTCACTGTGTGTGCTCTTGCTTAGTAGATCCAACTGTCCCTTAGTTACTCCCATCTGAGAATAATGGAGGCAGGTGGGCATGCTGTGTGTTAGGTAATTCCATGGAAGGCATGCTCCATATCAAACCTTCCACAACTGCGCCTTGTTTCCTGAAGGAGACGACTCCACTTTCACACAGTCCGTTGGAATTTGATCTGAGCTCATGCCTTTCCTATTCACGTGTCTCTACAGAAATAGGACCACGGACCAAAGCTGGAAAGTCGTCGATAGAAAAAATTGGTACTGCAAGAGGGACTCTTCGTCTGAGATCCAAGGGTCCTGCTACCGTGGAAGAGCTGGTATGTCATGTTCAGTGAGTCCCCATTCCGTTTGCACACATGCAGTTATGCACACATACAGTTATGCAATTCCATTAGCACATATACAGTTATGCACATTTATTAGAGCTAGAAATAAAACTAAGTAATCATAGTAAAATGCAAGGTTGGGTGCTTTGAATTCATCTTCTCATCAGTGTTTCCTCCTCCTGCAAACCACCGAGGTATTAAGAGGAAAATACAGCAAAGCATGGGAGGGAGACTGAGGCTTTTGGGAGTCTCCTCTTCCAGCAGGTCACTAGTCTAGACTTGCCTGTGGACGTTTGAATTGTCAGAGGACGTGCACTTGTGAAGGCTGCTATGACAGAAGACTATATCCTAGATATCCAGTCTCCTAAGAAAACTATTTTCGAGTCATGCCTGACTCTGCTCGTTCATGCTCTGCACTCCTGCCAGGGACACCTTGGGGATCCAGCTCTGCACAATTTCAGACTCCTACAACCTCCCCCTGCATGCACTGGGACTCCAGGCACCTGGAGGCTGCTGGACCATTCCCTGTTCTCCTCCCTTTCCTTCTGTGCTGGGTACAGCAGCCAGGATTATCCTCTAGAGATGCAAGTTGGGGGAGGTGGGGGTTTCCTGTGTCCCAAGAATGAAAGCTGTGGCCTGACCCCATATTTCTGGTCATTACCACCACCTTCTGCCACTCCCTCAGCCATCCCCACCTTCTGCCACCTCCACCTTCTGCCACCCCCTCTGCCACCCCTACCTTCTGCCACCCCCTCTGCCACCCCCACCTTCTGCCACCCCCACCTTCTGCCACCCCCACCTTCTGCCACCCCCACCTTCTGCCACCCCCACCTTCTGCCACCCCCACCTTCTGCCACCCCCACCTTCTGCCACCCCCTCTGGCGCAGCCAGGTTCCGCTCATCCTCACCAGCTCCCAGTGTTTCCCTTGCTCAGGGTGTTAGGGCTGCTGTTACCACCGCCCCCTTCCTGGTGTACTCTCACCTTCTTCATTTTTCTGCCTGTGTATCTCCTTACCCACACAGTCTTTTCAGAATATCTGGCACAAGTTGCAATTCTCTGCCTTTAGCTCTTCTTAACCTTAATTTTCCTCAATGCACCAAATATGGCTGACTCATATCTTTATTTTATTTAATTTCATCTGTTGTTATTTCATAGTCTCGGTCACCCAGCCTAGAATCTCATGTGCCAAAGGAACTCAAGTTTTTGCAGCATCAATGAATTAATTATGGATTTATTTTAGGTTGAGGAAAGCAAGGGCTTCACTTATTGACTGACTGTCAGGGCAAAGGTCAGTCTCCGAGTGGAAAATGCCAGAAGGTGAAGAGACAAATGGAGGGGGAAGGTGAAAGAAGAGATCAGGATGGGCAAGGGCAGGAGCAGGTCTGCCCACCCCAGTGAGGACAGTGCGCGATGAAGTTGACGCAGTGACATCCAAGGCTTGCAGCTCCTGGGAGCAGAGCTCAGGCAGGGGCCCTCACAGCCTGTATGTGAATGTTACCCTCAGATCCCCAGGTTTGCAGAAAGGAGAGTCAGGTGACCAGTAGGTGACTGTTTACAAACTGATCCTGTCCCTAGAATCTGTTGAATGACAATGTCCAGGGTCAGTGAAGGGCTGTTTGGTTAGAGCTGATACGTAAAGACCACTAGGTGAAGGCCATCTTTGGGGCTGTGTGAGGAGTCGCTCAGGATGCTGTGTGTTTTGAGGAACCCTGAGGAGGATGGTGAGTCAGGGACCCAGTCCCTCATGCTGGAGAAAGGATGGTGGCAGGGGTTCGCGCAGCTGCTTGTGACGCAAAAGGAAATGCGTGCTGGAGCTCAGCTCCTTTCCCCCCTTTTTATTCAGTCTGGCCCTCAAGGAACAGCGCTGCCCGCAGTTAGAGCAGGCCTTCCTAATCGAGGACCTAATCTAGACCCTAATCACAGGTGCACCCAGAGATGTGTTTCCATGGAAATGCCACCTCTCATCAGGTTCACGCTTAAGATTAGCTAGCAGAGAGGCAAACACAGCTGTAAAACACGGCAGAGTCAGAGTGTTTGGAGAATGAGCGGTGCTGAATTCTGTACGCCTCAACAGGGTGGGGATATTTGGCTGAGCCTTTCCTTTTTCCTCTGCTTATCTTACCCCCTGGTGGATTGCTGAAGACTGTCCCTGTCTCTTCAATTGATGCACAAGCCTGCACAGAGGACATTCTGTAGGAGAATGTAAAATCAGTGGGCACAGCTTGCAGTGGGCCACTAGGAAAAGGCCCTTTTGATTCTCTGTATGAGGCTGTGAGGAAGATGAGCAGCCTTGACACGTTGTGTGGAGGAAGCAGGGCATGCTGGGCAGTTCCACATCCTGTGGGGATGAGCATTGTTTCCCAACAGTGAATATAACTAGTGACTATGTGTTAAGCACCCTGTTGTACATGAGGTGCTGCAATGAAAGGAAGGGAGCTAGGACATCTATCTGCAATCTTTGGGGACCTAGGAAGAAACCATTCAAATGTAAGCATTAAAATTCCATCCATTTGCATAGTCTGCATAATTAATAGGTCAATTAAAACTATCTCATAATGAAAGGGAGCTAGTTTGATGCTAATATTGAATCAGTACAAGTACACCCTCTCATGCGATTCACACTCACACACATGCACCCAAAAGCTCACTCATTTATGTATATACACTTAAAAAATTTATTTATTTATTTATTTATTTATTTATTTATTTATTTATTTATTATGTATACAATATTCTGTCTGTGTGTATGCCTGAAGGCCAGAAGAGGGCACCAGACCTCATTACAGATGGCTGTGAGCCACCATGTGGTTGCTGGGAATTGAACTCAGGACCTTTGGAAGAGCAGGCAATGCTCTTAACCACTGAGCCATCTCTCCAGCTCTGTATATACACTTATATAAACACATATACCCACACTCCCCGCACAAGTATACAGTGACACCTAATGCACTGGCATTTTCTCATGTTTGCATTCACACACACGGGGGAGGTGGAGACTGGAGGCTCCTGGGACTTTGCAGCTGAATCAGTAAACTCCAGGTGCAGTGAGAGACCCTGTCTCAAAAGTATAAGGGAGAGCAATTGAGGAGAGCTCTTAATATTAGTCATACATGTGCATATACACGGAATACACAGACACAGACACACAAAGACATACACACATGGACACAGACAGACAGACAGACACACACACACACACAGGCAAAGAGGAGTTTGGAGATTCCCAACCTTTTAGTGGCCCATTGTTGCGGGAGGTCCTCCCACTCCTCCAGCCTATCACCGCTGAGGTACCAGCCCATTGGGGCGTGGTTTCTCTCCCTTTAAAAAAGCGGCCACTTCCCTCTCCTCTCTCTCTTCACTTCCTGCTCCGCTGACGACTAGACTCCTTTCCTGGTTGCGTAGAGGGCTGTTGCCTGGGACAGTGATCTGTAAGTTTTTTCCCCTTTAAATAAATACCACCCTATTAATCATAACCCCAAATTGGTGTGGCATTGTTTGTGACTTACGCCTTCAGCCCATGACCCTAACTTCTAGTCGTGCAACTGTTCTCTCCAGGGACTTCTTACTGTGACTGTAATATTCTCTTCTATCGACTTTAACTCTCTCTCTCTCTCTCTCTTTCTCTCTCTCTCTCTCTCTCTCTCTCTTTAGTGTTGACACTACAGCTATTTACTGTACTGATTTACATTTAGCTATAAGGTTACAAGGTATATTCCAGATATGTCCATTAGAATTAGCTAATGGACCAGCTATTTCCTGCTGTCAAGAGATTTTATTGTGTAAATGCATTATCTTGTCATTCTCTCTTTAAAGCCCTCTGAAGCCAAAGCAAAGGCGATCGAAAAGGTTGATGATCTCCTCGAACTGTACATGGGAATTCGAGATATCGACTTGGGTAAGGCCACACTGTTAACGGTAATTTCCACGTTGTTTATAGATGATAGCCAACTATATACGCTTCAGGATGAAAAGGATTGTGGAACCCAAAAGAGCATAAAAACAGTAAAAAAAGATGATTTTCCCAGATGACTGCTAATTTAACTTAAAATTTTAGCTAAACTGGGCGTGGTGGCACGTTCCTTTAACTCTGGACAGCCTGGTTTACACACTGTGTTCCAGGACAGCCAGAGCTACATAAAAATTTAATAGGATTCCTGAAATAGGAAGACAAAGATACAGGACTCGTGAGTAAGGATGACGCAACAGTGGGGTTTCTGGGTGCTTCCTAGCTTCTTTCTTTCTTTTTTTTTTTTTAAATATTTTTATGGTTTATTTAACTTTATTTTATGTGCATTGGTGTGAAGTGTCAGATCCCCTGGAACTGATCTTCAGACAGTTGTGAGCTGCCATGTGGGTGCTGGGAATTGAACCCGGGTCCTCTGGAAGAGCAGTCAGGGCTCTTAACCACTGAGCCATCTCTCCAGCCCTTCCTAGCTTATTTCTTTTGTTTCTTTGTTTGTTTATTTGTTTTTTGATACAGGGTTTCTTTGTGTAACAGTCCTGGATGTTCTGGAATTTGTTTTTGTAGTCCAGGGTGGCCTCGAACTCACTGAGATCCACCTGCCTCTGCTCCCAAGTGCTGGGATTAAGGACTTGCACCACCACTGCCCAGCCCTGGGTTATTTCTTATGTTACCATGAATGTGTCAAGTTCTTGTTTTATCAACTAAAACTCTACTGGTAGCAAATACTGCAAAACAGAATGAATGCAAAAACCCTAATTCCAACTGTATTAAGTAGGAAAAAATGGGGGAAATTTATGGTTTTTATAACCAAAAAATCCAGAGATGGGTCTTGTCTTCAAAAATGGCTGAATCTGGGTGCTGAAGAGATGGCTCAGAGGTTAGGTGCTCTTAATGCTGCATTCAGTTCCCAGCACTCCTATGGCAGCTCACCTCTTATGGCTCCAGTTCCAGGGTCTGATGCCCTCTTCTGGCCTCCATGGGTACTGCACGCAGTGCAGCTGAAACACATAAAAGAATGCTAGATCTGTAACATAAATACAGTATAACAAAAATCACTTTAAATTTGTATCAATATGCAAAAATCCATACCACTGTAAAATATTTGAGACTAGTGATTATTCAGAAGTGGATTCAACAATCCACCCTTTTATACCATCATTTCTATACTGTATCCCTCTTTTTTACCCTCAGAAAGAGATCCCTGAATCTAATCTCTTTTGTTCAGCTTTTGATCAATAAAAACTTGTAATCAACCCCTCTAGCCGGGCGATGGTGGTGCACGCCTTTAATCCCAGCACTTGGGAGGCAGAGGCAGGCGGATCTCTGAGTTCGAGACCAGCCTGGTATACAAGAGCTAGTTCCAGGACAGGCTCCAAAGCCACAGAGAAACCCTGTCTCGAAAAACCAAAAAAAAAAAAAATCAACCCCTCTAAATGATTACAAGCATCCATAACCCATTGAATGACAAGGGAACACCCACCCCACCTCTTAAGAATGTGGCATCGTGTTATCTAGACTACTTCCTGTTGTCTGGGGGCCATGGCATCTTTGGGGAATCCTGAGAAAACTGAGATATTGGTCAAGTTCAGGAAACACTATCTGTAATATTTGCTGTCTAGTCTATGTGATGGGAAAGCACAAAGCTTATCTGTCGTCCTGACTGGAATAGTCTATGAGGCTGGACCACCTTAGTGAGCAGCCTTGAAACCATTCTGGACATGGAACTCTGAGGAAGCTTCAACAGAGGCACTCTGAGAGGCCGGATCACCTGGACCACCTCTTTGCACTGGTGTCTGGTCCCCTTACTCTGAAAACACACAAACTTTCAAAGGTAACATACATATCTTCATTAACACAAGTATAGACTATGCATTGTACATAAAAGCCAGCCAAAGATAATTTTTTAAGTTTGAGCTGTAAAATATATATTACCTGTCTTGTAGGTTTTCTACATTTATTTCTTTATGTCTTTAGCCAGGATTTTCAGGGCGTCTCTCCCAGTCAAACCTGATCCTCTTTAACTTTGAATGAATCTTCAGCCTTTTGTTTTCTGTGGAAATAAAAGCATATCCTCTTTCCCTAAGCAATACATCTCCTGAATTCTGTTTTAAAGTTCAGGCATCCTGAAGTATTGAGGTTTAACTCAGCAGTCATTTCCACAGTCCAGTGTCTCCAGTACCTGTCATTCTCTGTTCATTTGCATCCAAAAAATTAAAATTAACACAACACCATGTAGGATCCAGTCTGTGTATTTTCCATCTTTGTGTGGCTTATCCTTTTTATATTATTTTATTTCTTCTTTAGAGACTTTACCTTGCTCTTTATAAACTATTTTTTTTGATTATCTATACCCATATTTTTTTCTTTTTTAACCTCTGTGCCTTTCCAGAGGTTTTGTGTATCTGGACCTGATTTTCTAAGCATTTGTAGAGTTCTCTGATGACATGAGACAAATCTTAAATGGCTATGCCAGCCACCAGTGCATCTCAGCTTAGCACATAGTGCTGGCCACTGGCTCCAGCCCACAGGCAGTCTCTGTAAGCTGAGCCTACTGAGAGACCTTGGTCACCAAGAAGCTGCATTTGACTCTGTGTTTTGAACTTTTTTTTTTTCTTTCTCAGACCTTATGTGGATGTATGTGGCTGGAAGTTGGGCACCATTTATTGGTAGATTTTTCTTTAAGCAGCCAGTTCTCTCTCTCTCTCTCTCTCTCTCTCTCTCTCTCTCTCTCTCTCTCACACACACACACACACACACACACACACACACAAACCAAACCAACTCTACGGAGACTCATTATTGATTATGAAAGCTTGGCCTTAGTTTCTTAGCCTTGTTCCTAACTAGTTCTCATGCCTTAAATTAATCCATGTTTTTAATCTGCACTCTTTGATGTCACTCTGTCCTGCCCATTCTGCTTCTTCAACATCTGGCTGGTGACTCTTCCTTTCTTCCCAGAGCTCTCTGTCCCCAGAAGTCCGCCTAGCCTCTTCCTGCCTAGCTAATGGGCTCTTTATAAACCAACCACGGTGGCATATCTCACACGATGTAAAGGAATATTCCACAACGCGTTAGGGGAACAGCTGACACATGACCTCCATAGGCATAGACGTGGCATAAACTAAGGAAGACAAGCATCTGCAAGTTCAGCTGCCGTGGCTGACTTCGCCTGGCTTTAAGGGACCCAGGAGAAGACACACTCTCTCTCACACTCCCTCTGTTCTTCTATTTCTTGTTTCCCACTTTCCTTTTTGTCTACTCTGCCAGGATATTGTGACTTTTCTGTATTTCTAAAGCTTTTATGTTTATACTACTTCTCTGGTTTTGTTTATGTGTTTTTGCATTATCAGGCGACCTCCTTTTGACTTTTGTTTTCTTTTATAAAGGTTTCCCTTCAACCCCCTCTTATAGCATTCTCCTTCACCCTTTGTTTCCTTCACCTTGGGCCTCTTCTGGCCTCCTCCTCTCCACCGTATTATTCTCTCGTATTCGTTTCTACGCTAACCTTAAATAATTTTAACCTCATCTCACAGTCTACGTTGCCCTTTTCTGTTTTGTGATAATTGTTTTAATCTAAGTGCACCACTGTACCTTGTTTGGTTGCGTTGTTGCTGCTTGAATAATTTTTCTCCTCTCTGAGCTGTGCTGGGGCTGAACCTTAAGAGCAACTGCTCCCTAAGACCCCAGATGAAACTGCACACCTCTCAACACAGAAAAAACAAGAAACATAAAATGCGAGGCAATATCACTTCTCGGCTAGTCAAAAGATCATAAATCTGCAATAGTTGGATTCAAAGATACTAACTAAAATGGGTAAAATGTCAGACAAAGAATTTAAGAGCTTGTAAAAATGACCAGGGACTTCACACAAGATACATAGATACATAAAAACACAAATATGAAGTAATAAAATCAATCTTGAGTGTAGGAAAGAAAGTCAGTAAAATGGAAAGGAAATTCAACAAGAAAATTGAAGTTTTTTTAGAAAAGAAATGTCCCAGGTGCTATGATGTATGCTTTTAATGACAGCACTCAGGAGGGAGAGGCAGGTGTGTCGGGGACCAACCTCAACAAAAATACCACTTGCCAGGGTAAGGGTATGGGGATTTAGAAAATATTAGTAAAGAATATGAAGACACGAATAAAAACAATAAAACGGAGAAACATAGAATAGTATTGGGAGGGAATTCCAGTGAGTACTGAAATTTACCCGTGCTTAATTTCCAATTGCTTTAAATACCCCTGACCCCAAGAGGTAGGAGTAAGACAAAAAACCTGCAGCAACACGACACAAGGCGATGAACATACCAGTTGAAGGTCACAGGCTACATTCTGTTGCTAGAACAAAACTAGTTTCGCTCACACCACAGACCAAAACATTCTGTAGGCAAATCACTCCCTGGGTAGAATCCCAAGTTATCTCCATAAAGGAACTGGAACTTAGCTGGATCCTTAGACTTTTGTTTGAGGTAGGAACACATCTACTTCTTTATTCCTGTAGTAGAAACTCTGGCTATTAGCCACACCTGTTGACAATAACCTTGAGAGTAGAACTCTCTGGTCTAAATCTAGGTGGGACCTTTGTTTGAGGTAGAAACACAATAACCTTGAAGGACCTAGAGGTAAGTTCCCACTCTCTGACCTTTGGTCAACAGGAAATAGGCTCACATTTTCTGGCTTCCACACAGGTGGATCTCTGAGTTCCAGGACAGCCATGGCTACACAGTGAAACCCTGTCTCAAAAACCCTATAAAACAAAGAAAAAAATTGGAAATGAAAAATTAAATGAATCATAAACAAAATAACCACAAAATAAATAAAACAATTACAGCAACAAAACTGAGAAAAACCACAGTGGACACCATCACCAATATACTACATCAAACAATAGAAAGACTGTCTTGACCAGTTGGCTAGGCCAACACATCCCACTTAGACACCAGTGAAGAAGAGAACTGAATACTCCAGCCCGCAGATTTCCAAGATCTCTGGACCAAACTGATAATCCATGGGACAGACAAAGGAACTGAGATAAAGCTAAAGGAACAGAAAAATTCTAGCTAATATAAGAGAAAACTCCCAAAATCTGGGGAACGAAATGAACACCCCAACACAGTAGAACCCCAGATCGTTAAAGATGAGTTTTCTGGTTGATGAGATGGCCCAGCAGGGAAAACCACGCCCACCAGGCCAGGTGACCCAAGTGTGGTCCTAGGGATCTGTGTGGTGGAAGGAGAACGCTGCCTCCTGCAAGCTGAAGTTGTCCTCTGACCGTGAGGTCCACACTGTGGTGTACCAGATTTCCCTTCCTCAAATGCATGTGCATGCACACACACACACACACACACACACACACACACACACACTATATATATATATATATATATATATATATATATATAATTTTAAAAAGAACCTAATAAAAAATAATGAATTTTATCTTGTTCTCAGAAATCTAGACCATTGCATATTCTAAAAATTTCATTGAAATCACCCAGTGGTCCCTTGTCAGTTTAGTTAAATATCTGTAGCAAATTCCTTCAATTGACATGAAGCCATTGCCATCAAACATGATTAGTAGTGAGATCAGTCACTTAGGGAGGCAAAGTGTGAGGGAAATAATTATTTGAAGAGTGTCAGCTGTTGTTATTAGGAATTTCTGTTGCTCAGATACGATTAACATGAGATATAATCCAGAAATGTGAGCCTATCTTAACAGAAAAATGGATGCCTTTATTTTTTGCATTTCCAGTATTTCTTGGTTTTCAAAAATGTCCTTCCTTCCTTCCTTCCTTCCTTCCCTCCTTCCCTCCTATCTCTCTTTCTCTCTCTCTCTCTCTCTCTCTCTCTCTCTCTCTCTCGATACAGGGTTTCTCTGTGTTGCCCTGGCTGTCCTGGAACTTGTTCTGTAAACCAGGCTGGCCTCAAACTCAGAGATCCACCTGCCTCTACCTCCTGAGTGCTGGGATTAAAAGCACGCCCCACCCTGCCCCCACCACCTGGCCTCAAATGAGTCTTTGTAGGAAATAACTTTGAGGATGAATGCGCTTCAGTGGTTGTGAAGTTAAGTTGTGAAATGTGATTTTTTCAACCAGCTAAGCTCACATGGAGTACCATGGGATGCTATTTGTAAAGGAATAAGTGCTGGAAGCTGTGGAGTCCCCTGGAGTGAGCTAACATAAGGATACATTGTCATACTTTCAATTGGAAGCTTTAGGCAACAGTGTTACTACCTGTGGACCTACATTGTTTTCTGATACCAATGCAGGATTTTGGAACTATCTATGGGAATGCCAGAATTTTTTTTCAAGGCAGGGTTTCTCTGTAGCTTTAGAGCCTGTCCTGGAACTAGCTCTTGTAGACCAGGCTGGACTCAAATTCACAGAAATACACCCTGCCTCTGCCTCCCAAGTGCTGGGATTAAAGGCGTGTGCCACCACCACCTGGTGGCAGTTTCAGAATTTAAAAAATTATCCCATTAAAAACACTAGAGATGTGTGGGAAGGCAATTCAAATGGTAGTTTCTAAGTTGTTTTTCCCACAGCGTCTTATGCTGGTTTTCAAAAATGTCCTATATACTAATGATGTTTCATAGGGAGGAACCCATTTCTCCCTTGGGTTCCTTGCTTTGGTCAGTGAAGCCATGCGCACTGTGAAGAGCTCCTTCTACGTTGAGATCAATGAAATCTGGAGTAGATTTTTATTAAAAAGTGCTTTGTAGGGGCTGGAAACGACTCATTGGTTAAGAGCTCTGGCTGCTGTTTCAGAGGAGCTGGCCCACCGAGCATCTCAGTCATGTGTGACATTCCGTCACAGGGTGTACCACCCTCTTACAGCTCCACAGGCACTGCCTACATATGGTGTACAAACATACATGCTGGCAAAACACCCAAACAAAAAATAACAGATACATCTTTTTTAAAACGTGCATTGGAGGGCACTATGTATGCTACCTGGCATACATAAGACCCTGAGTTAGATAGAGTTCCAGTAACACATGCGCACGTGCACACACACACACCCACACACCACACCCCATATATGCAGTTGCCTTTATATACATACACATATACACACATATACTTACCTATACATATATACATATAAATACACACATTTAATAAAGATTTTATGTAATAGGTTAATTTTTATACCTAAAAGTTCTTTAAATATTTACAAACTTAATGGAAACTGTATATTGGTCAAAGTTTTGTGGCAGTAGGAACATAAAAATATTCTCAGAGTGGCCACAGGAGGTCAGCACTTAGCTGTGCTATGTGGCATTAAAAAAAATCCTTTATGGTTGTTAGTGCTTATAAGGGGTGGGGCAAAAATGTAGGTGACCTTCAAGGGCTTTCAGATCCTGGGGAAAGTCCTTTGGGAGTGTGCTCACGGGATGCTCTTTCCCAGACCTGGAACACGGGGTTTGAGTGTCTTCCTAGGAAGGCAGACCACACACACTATCTTAATTTTCTACCCTAACTTAGAAGGTGATCAGGAAAGATGCCACAGAACTCAGACTGCTGTGCGCTGTAAACTATTCCTTCGTGGAGGGAAGCGTATACTGCGGCTGTCTGGGAGTAGGGCATGGATAGAAGACACAAAGAGTGCTAGCCTGTGGTGAAGTCAGGGGCTGTGTGTGCTGATGTTCCTGGTGAGGGTAGCCATGGAGCTTTCTTAAACTGTGTCTTCCATCCATCAGAATGCTGGAGGGTTTGCAGAGGGGACTCAGTAAAATGCTTCTCTTGGAAACACAAGTTTGATCCCCAGAGTCCATGTAAAAATGATAGGCGTGGTGGTGTGGGCTTTAAAACTTAGTGTTGGGGGAAGTGGAGACAGGAGGATTCCTGGAGCTGGCTAGACAACCAGCAGTTTCCCTAGTGATCCCCAGTCCAGTGAGGAGGGCACAGTCTCAAAAAGAGGCGAATGACATTTCAGAGGTTTGACATCTGAGGTTGTGTTCTGGTCTCTCTACGCACGTGCGTAAACTCCACACCAAATAAGACCAGACAAAACAAAACAGCCACCAGAGAATGCTAAAGCCTCCCCAAGTGATGGTCTCTCAGGTTGGGGACAGGGCGGTGGGGACAGGATCAGTCCTCCAATGCTGACGCATGACTCTTTAACTTTGAAAAATTGTCATTGACAGCTACGACCATGTTTGAAGCCGGAAAAGACAAAAGCAACCCCGACGAATTTGCTGTGGCCCTTGATGAGACTCTGGGAGACTTTGCCTTCCCTGACGAGTTTATGTTTGACGTGTGGGGTGCCATTGGCGATGCAAAACAAGGAAGATGATGCTGTGGATGATCGTCCTGCAGAAATGACCAGAGCACTTCCGGAGGCAGCCTTCTTGGGGACTCTTAGATAACTTCATGACCTCTACTTCAGCTCCATGTGTATGAGATTCAGTCTATGAAATGTGATTTGATTTATGGATAATGTTTAATATAGTTTCCTGTGCAATATGCTTAAAATAAATTGAAGTCTGATCCATTTTAATATTTGTTCCAAAGCTTCTAAAAGTGACTTTTGAAGGAGCGTTTCTACACAGGTGGACTTGACCGTATTGACATGCCTTACTTCCCACATTACATAGTTTCTTACAACAGCTTTGTGGGTATCTTTTCCTTCAATATCTTTAAAAAAATTGTGTATTTATCGTTGCTATATGTGCTTGGTTATGGGTGTACCATGTGCATGCATTGTTGAGGAGACACAGGAGGGTGCCTGTAACTGTCTATCACTCTCCGGCTGGACTTATACTCACTTGTGAGCTTTCTGAGGGTGCTGGAAACTGAACCTGGGTGGTGGGTGGTCTGCCAGTGGTCTCTAGTGCTGAACCATCTCTCCAGACGCCTTTCTTCAAAATCTTAATAGATGGGAATTAGGCTCAGAGTTCGGTCTACCTTGTAACATCTTTATTTTGTTATGTTACATTTAGAAGGTGAAATACAGTGTCTGCCACAGTCCAGAAGCGTGGTCTTCATCTTTAAAGGAGCAGGGAAGAGTTTGCTTTGGCTTACTGGTTCCTAGGACTCTCTTTGTAAAACAAAGGTTGATTGTTCAAATAAAAAATATATATAATTACTCTTAATAACAATTGGTTGGAGTTTGTGCTGTGTGCACAAATGTGTGTGTGTGTGTGTGTGTGTGTGTGTGTGTGTCTATGTGTGTGCTGGGCTGGAGGTGAGGGGCTGGGGCAAGTGGGATCTCAAGATAGAAAAGTGACAGGAAGACGCACGTGTGCTGCTTTGTTCTTTTCAGACTTTTAAAAGTATTAGTTCTGTTTTTATCTATAGCTTCTTTCCTGCTAACTTTTCTAAGGCCTCCAGGCCAGGATTTATATTTGTAGAATTTTTATTTTGAAACATATTTGCTCAGAAAATAACTAGGTTTGAGATGCTGTCTTTGGCGTGTGAGTATGGGGTTTAAGCAGCAATCGCTTTCAGCCTCCTAAGCGTTGGAGGAAATGCTGTCAGAACTTGACCCCCTGGTGGAAATGCAGGAGGCGGGCAGAGTGAGGAGAAGTGCGTTAGGCTGTTATTTCGGAGTTGTAGCACCCTTGCTCTAACCCTTACTTCATTGAGAAGATAGAGGGGAAATGACAGTCTCACTCTTCTCGGCCACTGCACGGATGTAAGAGGAATGGAAATAAATGACTCCGGCACAGATCATTTAATAAGTGGAAGACGGCGTGGCCAGGCACTCTCGCATATTTGATGGAAGATGCTGGGCACGGTGGCAGGAATCAGAAATCATAACCGGGGTGGGGGGTGTGTGTGTCCTAGGAAAGCGGAAGTAATACCTTCTTCATGCGGGGTTAATGCCGACATAACGCTGTCCTTTCGTCGCAAGACATTCCTTCTGCTGTCACCTCCTTGGTCACAATAGAGCAATGCCCTGCTTGATTGTCTTTGTTATGCTGAAGCCTGTCCAGGTGCTATTTAAGCCATCAATGTGATGCACAAGTAGCCATAGGATGCAGACTGTTGAATTCTTCTGTGTTGTCTGAAACAGGATTCCGCTTCAGCTGTGATCTGTGGGTAGACCTCCAAGGTGCCTAGATGGTCTTCGACACAAAAAGAGAGCTGATGTTTCAGGATAGGAAGTTAGCAGATGAAGTAGGGGGCCCACAGAAGCACTGCAGTTTAAACAATAACAAAAATGTAGTTTTTTTTTTTTTGGTCACTAGATGTTAGATTTGAAATGTTTATTGCATAGTTTTATCATCATTGTGTTTTTTGGTGTGTCAGCATGAGTGTGTGTGTGTATGAGAGAATTACTTTGGGGCTTTGCACCTTTTGGCAACACACAGTGCAGAATTACTTTGAGCAGCTGTCTATTTGTGTGTGGGGTACTGTTTAGCCAGACACAAAGGGCCTGGGGGCCAACAGGCCCTCACTGGCCTAAACCAGACTAAACCGGCTATGTGAGCAAGTGGTAAGGTAACTTCCCCAAAATGAGCCAACCTAGGTCTATCAAGGGGACAACAACAGCGCGGAACCACGATACAAGAGGTCCCGAATCCGTCCCCAGCCGCCATGAAAGATCCTCGTGCTGGTGCGGCTGCTTCCCTGAGCAGGTGGAGGGTATATAAGGCTTCCCCTCTGCTGAATAAACTGGATCTTGTATTTCACAGTCTATCCATTGCCGTAGCAAGTTCTTGCTAGAGTGACTTCAAAAAGAAGATTAAGAAAATGAAGGTTGGGCTGGAGAATAAGGCCTGGCCGTATACATCTGACCAAGCCTTCCTGGCTAAAGTGATTTCATGGTTTAATTGATTTGAATCCCGCTGTGAGTACTTTGTTTTGGATATAATGAACAAGGTATTTTGCTTTTGGCCGTTAATAAATAAGGGGTGTTTGAAAAAGGCCCCAAATGAAACTAATGAAACAAACAAACAAGCAAAAAATAAAGGAATGTTCCTCCTTCATGTAACCAAATATTCAGCGTGTCAGGGGATGTACTCATTACTTCCACTTTAACTGAGGTCCTGGATCGGGAAGGCGGACCGCGCTGGAGTCAGTGGATTTAAGTGGTCATTCTAAAGTTCTATGGAATATGACCACATTGCTCCTTTAGTTTTCTTGATTAAACATGACCAGTCAGTTTGGATTAGTCTTTTCAGGTGAACTAACCCGGGGCTGGAGAGATAGCTCAGCGGCCAAGAACACTGGGCGCTGTTCCGGAGTGCCTTGGTTTGATTTGAAACACCCACAGGGTGGGTCACGACCCTGTGGAGCTCCAACTGTGGAGGATCCGGCGCCCTTTCCTGGCTTCTATGAGTAGCAGGCACATACGTGGCGCACAGACGTACAGGCAAGCAAAACCCTCAGACGCATAAAATAATAATAATAAAAAGTTAGAGTGAGCTAACTCCCTGCCGGAGAGATTCGTCCAGGTGAGCCATATTCGTTTCACGGCACCGCTAGTTCAACCCTGTTTCTTTGTTTTCTGCCCCTCTGACCAGTAGGTGGCGCTACCTGTCCAGGTTGCTGCTCCCTCGAGGCAAGTCAGGTGTTTGGTCTAGTCTGATTTTTAAGCATAGCCAGCTGAGAGCTAAAGTGTGTCCGATACTCAGCTTCTTTTCTGAGCCTTGGGGATTGCATTTGGTGGTCTCTGGGAGTACTGAGGCTGAATGACAAATTCTACTGAAACCATTGCAGGTTCCAGTAGACCAGAGAGGCTCTGAGCGGTGCTGTGGGAATGATTGTGGGTCATATCCTGTGAAAATCATAGAAGACTTCATACCAAGCATAAAATTAAACAGGCACATTAAAAAAATGAGAACTGAGAAAACAGGAAATTATGGATTAAATTGTTCTTTGCACGAATAAACAAGTCACGTTTCTTTGTAGCTAATAATCAATATTCTGTAGATCTTGAAAAAATGTTTTATCTTGATTAAGATAGAATTCCGACCGGAGGTTGATTCAGGTCTTACGGTTTCAGCTGCAGTCAGTTAAGCTTTTTATTCTTTGTGACTTCTCACGTTTAAGTAATTTACCAGTGCTTTGGGCTGTAACACTGCTTTATCTCAGGAGTTGTTCTTTTTATGGATTGTGTTTTAATTCTCTTGTCACCCTATGCTGCCTGGGAGGTTCACTAGCTATATAGTTAAAGGCCATTTGTAAAAACACAAATTTTCATTTATTTTTTAAAACTGTATGCAGCCTTGGTACCTTTGCTAATTAATTAATAATTACCTCTGTGTTTGTTTGTACGATGCGTGCGTTCCGTGCCACTGCATGCCTGTGGGGGTCAGGGAACACCTTCTAAGGTTTGGTTCTCATCTTCCTCCTTTGTTTGGAGTCAGGGTCTTTTCTTGCTTTTTGCGGATGCACTCTGAACTCCAGGCTCGCTGGTCCTTCTAGCTAGTTCTCTGTCTCCACCTTTGCATCTTTGCACCTTTGCATCTTTGCACCTTTGCATCTCCACCTTTGCATCTTTGCACCTTTGCATCTCCACACTGTTGGAGCTCTGGGGTATCAGGTGTGTGCGGCTGAATCCAATGTTTTACATGGGGCCACAGGTTCTTAGACTGTGCAGTGAGCAGGCTTCTTGATCTGAAAGTTTAAAAAGTGGCATTTGCTGTAGTTTCTCATAACGATAACAATAAAGACCGTCTACTTTATAGGGGAGGCTTGCGTCTTTGTGGTACAGTGATGATCCTGTGGGGTGTTGTCTAGGAGAGACAAAACCAATCAATTCCTTCAACCGAAAGGTTTGCTCCGGGCTTTATAACTGGTCCTCACATCACAGATTCATAGGAAACAACAGAACTGTAAAAGCAAAGGGACCCAAGAGGATACTAGGTAACTTCTGGAGAACTCCATAGAAGGCCCATGGGAAAGCCCTGTCCTGAACGTCACTCACTGTGTCCAGTTTCCTCAAGTTGCTTTGATATTAGGGCTGCACAACTTTCCAGAATTTAGTCACTGGCTCCAGGAGTGGCAGGGACAATCATGCTGGTCACTCAGTTATTAGAGATTCATTGCCATTGCTGATTTGTGGTTCATTTGCTCACACCGCTGCTTGTTTTCTCTGTCCACACTGTTTTATTAGGTATGTCACCCTCTTCCCAATTGAAACCAAAAATCCCAATCAAATGTTGGACATGCATCTTAGTTGCCTGTAAGAGATTGGCTTTCTTGATTGACAGTCACAGGGATCTATATGACTCATTTTCTATGGATCTGGAATATCCTAACAACCCTTTAGGGGCATATACTGGCTAGTTTTATGGCAACTTGACCTGAGTCAGAGTCATCAGAGAGGAGGTGACCTCATTGAGAAAATGCCTCTGTAGATCTAGCTGTAGGCAGGACTGTATTTTTTTAATTAGTGGTTTGTGCGGGAGGGTTCAGGCCACTGTGTGTGATAACAAAGGTGGTACCTCATTCTGGTGGTCCTGGGTTCTAGAAAGCAGGCTGGGAATGTCATGAGGGCAAGCCAGCAAGCAGTACTCATCCATGGCCTCTGCATCAGTTCCTGACTCCAGGTTCCTGCCCCGCTTGAGCTTCTGTCCTCACTGCTTTTAATAGAACTGGGAGAAAATTATATCATCATATAGGACCGGGAGAAAATTATTTCCTTTCCTCCCCACATTGCTTTGGTCAGGTGTTTCGTCACAGCAATCCTCACTCTGACTAAGACAGTTGGTACCAGGGACTGGGGAACTGCTGTGACAGACCTGACCATGTTGTTTGCAGGAGGACTGTGGAAAGTCTTTGGAACTCTGGACTAGGAAAACTACTGGGTGTTCAAAGCTTGGTGAGCTTTTCTGTGGGAACTTGGAAGATAAGAATGTTGAGAGCAGTGCAGACAATGGAGGCCTGGCCTGAGGCGGATCTCTGTGAGTTCGAGGCCAGCCTGGTCTACAAAGTGTGTTCCAGGACAGCCAGGGCTGTTACACAGAGAAACTCTGTCTCCCCAAAACAAACAAACAAACAAACAGCAAAAACAAAATCCAAAAACCAAACCAACCCCCAACCCTCCCCAAACATCAAAAATAAACAGATGAATGAACAAACAAAACCCAAACCCAAACCCCAAAACAAATTTTTTTCTTCCAGTTTATTTATTTATTTATTT